ACAACTCATGGTGGAAAATGAACATTGCTCGATTGAGAAGCTTGCTGAAACCGTTGCAGTGCACGATTTGACTCACGTAGAGCTTTGAGTTTCTTGTGAGCGGGCATTTCAAATTCCTCGTAGCCTATGTGAAATAAAAATGTTAGTATCTCCGTTAAGAGTTGGTTTCAGTAATTTTCGTTGTGCGCGTCGTGCTTCACGTGAAATTTTGGTGAAGAAACATGAATGAGGATGCTGAAATTCGTACCTTGTCTAGTGGTCCATTTAGGTGTAGGTATATGTACATATAAATCAAGAGGAACTATATCCATTCTGACATGAGCCCTGAGATTCATAAGAATACATGCAAAGGTGGAGCTCATGTCACAATGGATATCGTCGGTGAAACCGTAGAGCACATAGAGTCATAATATGAAGCAGTGGCGAGGCATGCAATGATCGATTCGATACTTCCCTATTTGAGACTATAGAAAACAATCGATTAATAGGGTGTTCGCTGCGAACATCCTGTTTTCGATCCTTTTTCTTAGATTCAAAGGGCAGATCAATCGATATATCGCATAGCACGCCACGCCACTGACATGAAAAATTGGGTTCGGGCCATGTTCTGGTCGACAAGTTCCAAGCACGGTGTGCGCCGGAATTCGGTCACCTCTTTGGTACATTTTCGATCCAAAACGGCGATGTGGAGTACGAGTTAAACCATTTATACCCTCTTTGTTTACATCGGGTGGCCAGATACCCGTGTATCGAAAACAATCAATAATGTATCGAAATGGTGACATGGCACCGCACAGGAGTCTTGGAATTCGGTGACTGGAAAATACTTACAAGTGGCACCGGCTCCTCCATTCTTGTTACGACTCAATGTACTCCATATATGGGTGAGATTCCCGAACCAGGTATCTCAGTTTACGACGTTGCAGTCTTCCCGTCATACTCTTTCTTTCAGTAGAAAACTACGTCTCGGAGTCAAATCTTGAACACTTCCATAATTTTTCTTTTCTATGCGAGGCAAATTTTGAAAAGAAACCTCAAGGGACGACGTTGATTTGTTCTGTGTTAAAAGAAATAATGGAGATTACCTAACACAGAAAATGGGATACGTAGATTGGGAGTTTTACCACCTGTATATAGTTCCTTTTGATTTGAATGCGTCTTGAACGTCATCAACCAGAGATTAATGTACATTGAGAGATCGGAAAAACACCGTATCTTTGCATAACGGTGCTTTCGTAGATGAGGGCTTTTTCAAAATTACCAGTCTTTGTGGATCGCTTACACTGGCATAAAGGAGTGAAATCTGGAGTCTATTTCATCAGAGAAAAAATCTTTGGTTACAAGTCTCAAGTTCAAGTTCTTATGGACCACTAAGGTTTTATTCCAAGTAACGGAAGTTTTTAGTCACAGAACCCGAACTTAGGTTAAGATTAGCGAAGTTTTCTTCGGTATGGCTACTGAAAAATCTGGCTGCCTAACTTAAAAATTTCACTTTATATGACCAAAAATTTTCCTGTTAAATTTGAAGCGCAGTTTTTTTTCCTTGTGCTCTTTTAGCGGTGTGAATTCCGCTGCTTCTGGGCGGATTTTCCGACACTTTCTAATCATTCTAGTTGTTTGGCAGCAACACATACGCTCCGTGGTAAAATACACTCCAAATTCCATTTTTTTAACATGATCTGTAATACAAAATCATACAGATACAAGTACGAGTAACAGGTAACGCATAACGCCTGGGGGACGGGGGTGCGACGTACTGCGAGGGGTTGCACCGAGCAAACGGCGAGGGGGCGAAACCCCGTAGTTTATAATGTTGATTTTGAAATAACCCCAGTTGAGGCATTCATCAGTCAGTGCAGTGTGAATAGCATGGGATAAAAAACGCCTTCAATTTTTCGTGCCGCAACTGTCATCTACCCAGGAGTACGAATAGTTGCTCGTTTAAAGATGGGCATGTTAGCTCGAACTTTTTTGGACGGTATCCAGATAGTCCAGTCAGTATGAATTAAC